TCTTTGGCTACTCAGCGCAGCAGAAACCACTACTCCTCGAGGTGTTATGCAATGGACGACGCCTCCAGGCACTGGTGGACAGCGGTGCATCTCACTCGGTGTGTGACCGCGGAGCATTGGAGAAAATTGGAGAGAAGGCGGAAGAGACCCAGTTTTCAGCAACCATGGTGGACGGTACGAAACTTCCTATCCACGGCGAAGCATCACTGCAGCTGCATATAGGTGCGTTGAGGTGGAAGCCGAAACTACCAGTCACCAACATCAAAGGGTTAGATTTTATCTTGGGGCGAGATTTTTTGAAGCGGTTCAACCCCGAGATCGATTGGATCAACAGCAAGGTGTGCATCTACAACAACGGGAAGCAAATAGCACTACGAAGCTGGACGGATACAGGGGACGTACCGGAGACGACACTGGCACGGTTCGAACAGACAGTGAACGGGAGTAACACGGGTTACCTAGCACTGGTCATGGCAGCAGCAGAGGAGGAGAAGCCGAGTTCCGAGCTCCCTGCAGCAGTGAAGGAGGTCTTGGAGCAGTACAAAGATATAATGCCCGACGACCTACCTGCAGGCGTACCTCCAGCACGCACCCACGAGCATGAGATCGTGGAGGAACCAGGTGCGAAACCCGTCTCACGTGCACCATACCGACTGAGTCCGACCGAACTAACAGACATGAAGAAACAGATAGAGTATCTACTGGACAGACAACTGATCCGCCCATCCACCTCTCCCTACGGTGCACCAATTCTCTTCACTCCAAAACCAAACGGCAGCTTACGGATGTGCATCGAGTACCGCGCACTGAACAAACAGACAGTTAAAAACAAATACCCCATACCGCGCATCGACGACTTACTGGACCAACTGCGTGGTGCAACAGTCTTCTCGAAGCTGGACCTACGGTCGGGTTACTGGCAGATCAAGATGGCGGACAACTCGATCCACAAGACAGCGTTCCGTACTCGATACGGCTCCTACGAATACTTGGTGATGCCGTTCGGACTCTGCAACGCACCAGCAACATTCCAGGCGGAAATGAACCATATTCTATGGCCCCTGCTGGAAGAGTGCGTAGTGGTGTACCTGGACGATATTCTCATCTACTCCAAGAACATGAAGGAGCACGTGGAGCATCTGCGGAAGGTGTTCGAGATCCTATTGGAGGAGTTTCACGACGTACCATACGCGGGACATTTCGGGAGCAACAAGACGTTAGCGGGAATAGCGAAGTATTACTACTGGCCCCGGATGGCAGCAGACGTGCAGCAGTTCGTCACCTCATGCGACACGTGCCAGCGGATGAAGAGCAGCAAGCAGAAGAAAGCAGGGTTACTTCAGCCTCTACCTGTACCGGAGCAGCCATGGCAGGTCGTTAGCCTCGACTTCATCACAGGACTTCCTTCAACCTCACGGGGACATGATTCCATCCTCGTAGTCATCGATAAGTTCTCCAAAATGGGGCACTTCATACCGACCAACGCCACAGCTACAGCTGAAGCAACTGCTCGCCTCTTCTTCGACCGCATCATCACCATCCACGGCATCCCCGCTACACTCATCTCAGACAGAGACCCCAAATTCACGAGTAAGTTTTGGAAGGAGCTCATGGGATTATTGGGGACTAAACTTGCGATGTCCTCAGCATACCACCCACAGACTGACGGACAGACAGAGCGACTCAATCAGGTGGTTGAACAGTTACTGCGTACCGCTTGCAAAGACGACGTCAGCCACTGGGACACACAGTTACCGACCCTAGAGTTCGCTTACAACAACGCCTCACATGCAGCCACAGGGAAAACTCCTTTCTTCCTGTGTTACGGACGGGAACCACTCACACCACAGCAGCCTACCACACCGGCACACGTCCAAGCCGCACATGACTTCGTCACCACCATGCAGCAGCTATGGGAGAAGACTCAGCGACGACTCACCACGATGCAGACCTCCCAGAAGCAGTATGCCGATCGTCAGCGACGTGATCACTCAGTAGCAGTCGGAGATCAGGTGCTTCTTGACACGCGCAACTTGAACCTGTCTCACCTACCATCCAAGCTCCGGCCTCGCTTCTGTGGTCCTTTTCTCGTTGAGGCACAGGTGACACCAGTTACATTCCGCTTGCGTTTACCAGACATGTGGAAGCTTCACAATGCTTTCCATGTGCAGCTACTGAAGCCCTACAAGGACCCCAACCAACAGTTCCAGGGACGGCAACTACCGCCACCACCACCTGTTCTCATACAGGATGAACCCGAGTACGAGATCGAGCGCGTTCTCACTCATCGGCGCCGCAGCGGCAAGGCCCTCGAGTTCCTGATACGCTGGAAGGGATACGACCCCACTGAGGATAGTTGGGTTGCAGAAGCTGATATGGGCAACGCACGCCGTGCTCTCAAGGACTATCTTGTCAAGCAGGGTGTATCTCACGCCACCCAGCTTTGAGGGGGGGACGTGTGAGAGTACGACGGCTTATGTCAGCTATGCTTGCTTGCCTTTACTTTATCATGCTATTTCTAGCATAGGATAATTATATGCATGCATGAATTGCTTGATTTCCTAGGCTAGGTGCTTTCCTATATTTTATTATAGTTATAGCACCGAGCTAGGTTGCGTGCACCGAATTCTGGCTTTTCGGTTGCCACCGAATTGCCTTCTACCGAATTCGGGAAGGATCTGTTCGGGACGCTTCGCGACCCGCGGAACCTTCGCGTAACACCTGGTTACGGGGCCTTGTGTCGAGCCTATATATAGCCTCGTGTTGTACCCAGGTGATCATTCAATTCACATTCTCTTTTCTGAGCTCGATCCTAGATCCTCACAGACCAGCTCCAGGGCGACAGCCACGACGGCTACCGCCACAACCCCAACTAGCGTACCACTGACGAAGCTGCTGGGGCGTGAGAGACTCGCGCGGACGTCGCTGGAGCTTCATCTGGCCACCGCCAGTAGCAGCAGTAGCAGTGGTAGTGGCAGTAGTAGCAGCAGCAGCGCGGGCAAGGCAGGCGCGGCAGGTAGGTAGGCAGGCAGGCAGGCAGGCAGACAGGCAGGCAGGCTGGCAGGCAGGCAAGCAGGCTGGCAGGCAGGCAGTGCGCTAACAAGGCAGGTGCTCACCAGTGGCGGGAAGAGCAGGCGCTCGTCGGGCGAGCAGGGCCGGCGCTCAGCGGGCGGCTGTACGGGGTCCAGGGGCGGCGTCGCGGGTCCAGGGGCGGCGTCGCCGGGTCCAGGGGCGGCTGCACCAGGGGCGGCTGCTGCAGGGGCCAGGGGCGGCTGCTCTGGGTCCAGGGGCGGTTGCTCGATGGTCCAGGGGCGGCTGCACCAGGGGCGGCTGCTGCAGGGGCCAGGGGCGGCTGCTCAGGGTCCAGGGGCAGCTGCTCGAGGGTCCACAGGCGGCTGCACCAGGGGCGGCTGCTGTAGGAGCCAGGGGCGGCTGCTCTGGGTCTAGGGGCGGCTGCTCGAGGGTCCAGGGGCGGCTGCACCAGGGCGCGTCGACTGCAGGGCGCGGCCGCGTCAGAGGCAGGGCGCGGCCGCGTCAGAGGCAGGGCGGGGCCGCGTCGGCTGCAGGGCGCGGCCGCGTCAGAGGCAGGGCGCGGCCGCGTCGAAGGCAGGGCGCGGCCGCGTCAGAGGCTGGGCGCGGCCGCGTCAGAGGCAGGGCGGGGCCGCGTCGGCTGCAGGGCGCGGCCGCGTCGAAGGCAGGGCGCGGCCGCGTCGAAGGTAGGGCGCGGCCGCGTCAGAGGCTGGGCGCGGCCGCGTCAGAGGAAGTGCGGGGCCGCGTCGGCTGCAGGGCGCGGCCGCGTCAGAGGCAAGGCGCGGCCGCGTCAGAGGCAGGGCGGGGCCGCGTCGGCTGCAGGGCGCGGCCGCGTCGAAGGCAGGGCGCGGCCGTGTCGAAGGTAGGGCGCGGCCGCGTCAGAGGCTGGGCGCGGCCGCGTCAGAGGCTGGGCGCGGCCGCGTCAGAGGCAGTGCGGGGCCGCGTCGGCTGCAGGGCGCGGCCGCGTCAGAGGCAAGGCGCGGCCGCGTCAGAGGCAGGGCGGGGCCGCGTCGGCTGCAGGGCGCGGCCGCGTCGAAGGCAGGGCGGGGCCGCGTCAGAGGCTGGGCGCGGCCGCGTCAGAGGCAAGGCGGGGCCGCGTTCTGGCCTGACGGGCCTGCAGGGGCGGCTCGCGGGCCTGACGGGCCTGCAGGGGCGGCTCGTGGGCCTGACGGGCCTGTAGGAGCGGCGCGTGAGCCTTACGAGCCTGCAGGGGCGGCGCCCTGGCCTTACGGGCCTGCAGGGGCGGCGCGCTGGCCTAGGGCAGCGCGAGGGCTGCAGGACGGTGCGCGCAGCGCAGCACGTCACAAGGCAGGGCAGGCAGGCAGGCAAGCAGGTGCAGTACAACACGTGGGGTAGCGCGGTAACCGCAACGGTAGGTGGGCCCGAAAAAAAAGACGGTCCTACGGACCTAGTGCTCTGAAACCATGTCAGAATCTAGTAGCAGGAATGAATGAACTATGAAAGGGTTGGGTACAAGTATGAAACCCTAAAAGGGGCCGTACCCCATATTGACTACCCCACTACAGCCTAAACACATATTTCATATATATACTTTGACAATTTCCTTACCTCATGTGCCATTTCCTTACCTCATGTGCCCTTTCCTTACCTCATGTGCCATTTCCTTACCTCATGTGCCCTTTCCTTACCTCATGTGCCATTTCCTTACCTCATGTGCCCTTTCCTTACCTCATGTGCCCTTTCCTTACCTCATGTGCCATTTCCTTACCTCATGTGCCCTTTCCTTACCTCATGTGCCATTTCCTTACCTCATGTGCCCTTTCCTTACCTCATGTGCCCTTTCCTTACCTCATGTGCCCTTTCCTGTCCCACTCCCCTCTGCCACTCCACTTTGCTTCTCGGGTTGTTCCCTCCACTCCATATGCTTACCCCATCCCATGTTCTGTGCCATTTCCTGTCCCACATCTCTGTGCCACTCCATTCCACCACTCGAATTCTTCCCTCCTCAGGCTGCCCAGCATTTGGGCCCTGCGACTGCTGAGGCGTCTGCTGCAATGGTACCCTGTAAGAATACCTGTTTCCTCCTCTTTTTCCTGATGCTATTTTGCGTAATGTTGTTGCAATGGCCCTCGCTTCGTCCTTATGCTTTTGCATGGTTGTCATTCTGGTCGTCGTTTTTTATCCCAGTAGCATGTGCATTTCACTGTGTGTATTCTAGTTACAACTTCTCCTTTGCATCATTATTCTTAATCAGGGGGACCGGATAACTGCGCGTGAGGCTCTGCAGCATGCCTACTTTCGACAGGAAGCACCTCGTACGTAACAGTAGCACCAGATTGATGTTGACAACATCACAATTCCAACGTGTTTGCAGATATTATTTATCACTTTTTCTGTTCCCTAATTTCTCATTATTGGCAGGAGGATTCAAGTGTCCAACATGTGGGCAAGATTTTGAGTTTCGTTCAGATTGTGTCCAGCATCATCGTTTGCACCATTCACAAACAAAACATGATGCTGTATGCATGTAATTCTTATTTAGCTCATGCATAAGCATGTTTTCCTCTGCTCTCCAAACCGCATCGAACCACTCACACCAGTGGCGCGACGGAGATTTTGGGTGAACAGCCACCGCGAATTGTTTCCGAGGATTTCGAGGCACGATCGCACAAGACTTCGTTGATTTCGCAATGTTGACCCGCGGTTTGGGTAGCGAGAGTTGACGGAATAGTTCTCCAGCTGCCCCGTCCCGTCCATTTCGCCTGATGAATTTCCGCTCGACCCCCGCCAGCTAGGGCGCACTCTTCGCGTCCCGCTCGGTCCCACCAAGCCAAAACGCGGGCCCCTGCGCGCGTCCCCCCACCTTTGCTGGCACTTCCTTCCCCGTCGGAGGCTGTTCTGCTGGTTCGATTTGGGAAACTCCAGAAGCAGAGGTACGGCACGGCATGGGGGGACAATATTCCTTACCCAAACCAAACCTCCCCCGATTTTCCGGAATCCCTGGATTTTGTTCCCCCAAACCGAACCCGACGCGCCCCGATGGACCAACTAGCAGTCTTCTCTGCACGACAGACTCTAGAGACCTATTTTATGCCAACGATCAGACTTCATTCGACACACTCAGTTATCTTGCTCTGCTTCAATCAGTGGCCCTCTCAGCCTGCTAACTACAGTCCTCGTTGCTTCTCTGCCTTTCCGCTCAACGTGACCAGTCAGTCTTCAGCACTTGCTTCAACGCCGACTTGTGTGTCGGTCAGTATTTTGCTAGTTTCCTCCGACGCTGAAAATAGGTGTCTCGCAGTCTTCCCTCGACAGTGTGTGCGCCGCGTCTCTGAGCGGCACGACGAGCGTCGTCGTCGATTCGCGATTTGCTGAGGCGTTCGCCGCGTTCGCCGCTTCGGAGTCGCACTTCTACCGCGATTCCTGCGGCTCCTCGAAGCAAATCGACGGCCGGTCCCTCTTGGTACGTGTATCGTTAATCCCCTTGCAACCTGTTGTCGCTTGTCCGCGCAAGCTTCTTCCCCCCTTGTCGTACTTTCCACACTTTCACTCGCTCACCATTCCCTTTTCCGCGCTCTATTCCCCATATCTTGCGTGTCTTGCGCCAACAGTGTGAGCAGTTGGACGCGACCGACCACGTGCGCCGCTCCTCCGCCGCCGCCGCTTCCGCCGCTAGCGCGAAAGCGAGCGAGCGTAGGGACAGTGCGATCCGCGTGCTAGCGGAGTCCATTCTCGTCGGCTGCCCCGCGCGGCACTCCTTCGCCTTCTTCTCCGCGGGAGCGGACACCGCAGCTGGTGCCGGCGGTGCTGACGGCGCGTATGGGAACAACCATGACAGCGCGCGTCGCTCGGCCATGTCGTCGTTCTCCTTCCGCCCGCGCGGGTCTTCTTCCTCCTCCTCCTCCGCGTCAGGGGGGCGCGGCTCCTCCTCCTCCGCCTCAGGGGGACGAATCTCCGCGTCTTCCGCGCGTTCCCGCAGCTCCTCCGCGTCGTCGTTCGCCTTCCCCGCCCTCGCCTCTCTCCCCGCATCCCCGCGTCCCTCGGACAGCTCGCTGTTCACTATCGCGGAAGCTCTTACCGAGTCACAGCCGGCCTCTCAGAACACGGTGCCTTCCTCTTCTCAGGTTTCTGACAATGAGGTCGTCGGCAGTCTTGGAGAAACTGCCGGGTGCGGTGATGCGGCGGCGAAGGCGGCGGTGGACGGCAGTTTGCCGCCCGATCTGAGCGGGTTGAGCAACGGGGAGCTGCTATTGGTCGCGGCGAGCCGCATCGCGCTGCTCACCGAGTCGCTGAGCGAGTCGCGCACGATCAACGAGGAGCTGATGAAGGAGAAGGACGCGGCGCTGTCGCTCCTGATGGACACGCAGCGCAAGCTGACGGAGGCGACGACGCGCGCCGTGCTGTCGATGCCACGTGTCAACAGCTCGTGCGATCTCGCCGGGCTCGCCGTTGGCGGAGCTTCTGGTGGGCACGTCAGCTCGCCGCCGTCGTCGCCTGCTGCCAAGTCGACGGTTGCCACGTGTGCGACAGCAGGGTCAACGGGGTCAATGCTGACGGGGCAGAAGGGGAAGATCTACCTGGACGACGACGACGACATGGACTACGACGAATCGGACGACGAATGCGACGTCGCTCGCAAGCCCGTCGCGCCTGTTGCACCTGTCGCACCAGTCGTAGCAGTAGCTCAGTCGGCGGAGAGCGAGGAGGCGGAGTATGCGCGCTTCCTTGAGCGGAAGGTCGCGGAGCTGCAGGCTGCACTGTCGCAGGCGGAATGTGCGCTGGAGTCCGCGCGCGCGGAACGTGAAGCCTTGGCGGAAGGTCAGGAGCGCGCGGTTTCCGCCGCAATCGCGGACGCCGCGGCTTCCGCGGAGCGCGCGCGGGCGCGGGAGGTCGAGCTGATGGTGGCGCTGCGGGCGGCGGAGGGGGAACTCGCGGCCGAGCGCAGGCGCCACATGGCGGAGGTCGAATCGCTGAAGGAAGAACTAGCCGCGGCCCGTCGGGAGAAGGAGGGGTATTTAACGAGTATGGAAGAAATGGCGCGGGTGCTGGATGTGCAGCGGGAGGAGCGGGATGTGATAATAACGAGGTTAGAAGCGGAGAAGGCGGAAATGGTGGGTGAGCTGATGGATGTGATTGTAGAGGCCGTGGCTGCAGCGGGCGTTGCGAGTGTAGCTGGTAACTTGGTTACTGCAGCTGCGATGGAGGACTGGAAGGATAGCGCTCCTGTGATGGCTGTCCGTCGCGCTGAGCTGTTGGTTGTAGATTCTGCTGAGCTGGAACCGGTTCTCGCTGACGTGGAAACTGCAAAAGAGGCGTTTGCTGACGTGGCAGCTTCTGCTGGCGTGGCGGGGATGGGTGACGTGGCGGATAAGGAAATTGTGGCAGCTGAGATGGCCCTGGGGGAGAAATTTGGAGAATCCAGGCAAGAGGCTGTTGTTGGGGCAGGTGAAACCCTAATTTCAATTTCTGCTGCTCCTGATGCTGCTGCTACTGCTGTTACCACTGCTGTTCCCGCTGATGTTACCACTGCGGTTACCACTGTTCCGGCTGGAGCTAGGTTTAGCAGCAGCAGGCGCTACAGCACAGCTGCTGCAGCCGGCAGGGGCAGGAGCAGGGAGGGGGACAGCGGTGGCAGGGGGAGCAGCAGTGGTAGGGGAAGCAGCAGTGGGAGTGACTGTATCGCTGGCAGCAGGGGCGGGCGTGTGAGCGAGGGAGGATGGGGGAAAGCTAGCTACTTAAAAGTGGGGGACAGCATTCCGAAGGGAAAGGTGCGGGTTGTGAGGGACAGGGACCTGCCTACTCGCAGGCACACTGTGCTCTCGTGCACTCTCCCCTCCTCTCCCCTGCCCTGCTCTTTCCCTCCCTTGCGCCCTCACCCATCCCACTGCCGCGCCTCCCTGCCATCCCTGCTGCCTATTGGTCACGAGCTGGTGGAAGGGCGAGGAGGGGAGGAGAGGGGAGCGCGAGGGAGTGAGGAGAGGGGAAGGCGAGGGGTTGAGGGACAGGGAATATGGAGGGAGGGGATGAGAATGGGGCAGGGCGGGGAGGAGGGAGAGGGGGAGCAGGAGGGGTATGCATGGCAAGCGTTTCGGGCTCTTATTGATGGTGGTGCTATGCCGGGTGACTATAACGAGGTTGCAGGGGTGGAGACGAGCAGTGGCAATACAGGCACTGCAGGGGACTTTATCAGAGGTGATATTACCAGAGGTGATTCTATCGAGGGGGACACCAGTGAGGTGGATGTGATGCAGAGAAGACGAAGGATGTCGGCCGGAAGGAGGCGGTGGTGGGACTGGGGGGTGATGGAGCGAGTGAGGGCGTGGGAGTGGCGTGGGGGCAGGCAGAGGGGAGGAGGGCGGGAGGATGGGAGAGCAGAGGAGGGAGCAGTGGAGGAGAGGCAGGTGGAGCAGGAGGAGGAGGAGCAGAGGCAAATGCAGGAGAGGGAGTGGGATACGGCGGAAGGGCGTGGAGAGAGGGAGCAGGGAATGTGGGAGGTGGGCGAGCCTGCTGCGAGGGGGAATTACAGAAGGGGTGCAGATGTGGGAGGAGCAAGTGGTTTTATTGGGGATGAGGCATGGAGTGAGCATGCGATTGGGGGGGGAGTGGTGGAGGGGGAGGAAGTGAGGGAGAGGGGGAGAGTGATGAGGATACTTGGTGATGATAAGGAGAACGTGGAGCCTGCTATGGGATTGGACATCTAGTGTAGTGTAGGGTATATTAGGCTAGGTGCTTGCCATGTACATAACTAAGTATTTAATCTAGTATTTTTACAGCTGAACTGTAACGGTTGTGATACTGATTTGCTGTCAGTTGAAGCAGCTTGCAATACAGCATTGCCTGGAAGAGTGACCTACGAAGAAGTACATGTTACCCATACATGTGTAAGATTACAAACCAGCAATGCCAAATAGGAATGGCTAATGGCTTGCTACTTGTAACTAAAGCGGTATTCCAATACAAGCCTGCTTTGTCCTCACAATAGCACTGCTTATAGCGGAGCTTATGTGTCAGCCCGTATGGAATGGACTGCTTATGATGTGGCTACACTCGAGTTTGATGCTTGGTTTCCTTGACTGGTGGAGGTTGCTGCGTTGCTTCCTTGCCTCTTGTCAAGCACTGAGGGAATTACAAACACTGCCAGCAGGGCTGGTGTGGGGGAAGGGGGCATGGGAAGCATATGGGCATGAGGGAGGTTGGCACATGAGGAAAGAGGAGAGAATGGGTGAAAGGCGAAGGAAGAGGGGCGAAAAGGGAGGAGGGGGGGGTGGGCAGGCGAGAGTGAAGGGAGTCTGGGCAAGGGGTGGGGGCTTGTGAG